GATTTAAATACAAACTGCTATAAGCCAACTTCTTCCCAGCAATGGGATGGAGACCCTAGGGCAGGGAATTAGGTGTCCTGTTCTTTCACCTCCATGCTCTCCCAGTCCCAGAGCAGAAAGCCAATTTTCCAAAATCCACCACTGAGCTGCTCAGAGTTAATGCAATCTGTCACTGGAAAGGTACTCAAGAGAGATGGCGCTGAGTTCTCGTGACAGACCCGATCAGAGTCAGTATTTCCAAGGTATGTCTTTTATTTTCAGGTCATTCCTTCAAACATGAGCTGGAGCCCAGCAGGCAGAATTCAGGACGCTAGGCTGGTAGCAGGAGGCTGTTCTTTGTGCTCAGAGGTGCTGCACCACAAACTCTTCTGTTCCAGTGGTTCCTGCATCACTGACACAGACTGGCATTTTACTCCCAGGAGACAAAAGTGTGAGTAACTACTCCAAGGAAAACCAACACAGCAGCACAGCACAGTGCCCCAGTGCAGGCTTACCTGGTGCTGCTGTGCCACCTCAATCATGTCACTGCAGAGAGGAGCGAGCTCCTGCCATCCCTGGAGGCTGCACCTTCCACAGCAGGACACTGGGCTCAACTCGCCCTGCTCCAACTGCTGGGAGGAGGAGTCTGGGCAGGGAAGGCACTCCATTCCCCCCAGGCCACCTCTTGGCTTGGACACCAAATCAACACGCAAGTTTGCACCAGGCTCTTGTCTCTGGTTCACACAGACAAGGAAGTTATTTATCAGGGGCCAAAGCAAACGAGCCATGGGGCCGGGACGCTCCTGCACAAGGGCTCGTTTGCTAATGGGGAGTTAATGAAGGAGCTACTGAGCTGCTCCCAGGCAGCAGAGGTGGCACGGGAAAAGCACAATGGTCTCAAGCTGGAGCCAAGGAGGGCTTAAGCTCAGCTTTCCATCCCAGATGAAGCTCTGTGCAGGGAATGGGGCAAACAGCAAGAAGGAGACAAAGCGAGCCTCTCGTTTAGCAGGGAGGGAGAAGTGCTCACAAAGGGGAATTCTAGTGATGATGGAGCATCAATTTCACATTAATGCGTACACACCTCAATCCTACCAATCCCTCCACCCTGTTTACCATCTCTAGTAGATAAAACATTTAAAGCACCCCAAAAGCAGAAGCTGTTTTGTCACAGAGGATGCTGCTTGAGGACACCTCACATGCCCTGACCCCCCAGCATCTCCAGCATCTGGTACCACCCTCCTGGAAAGCACAGCCTGAATCCAAAGCCACACCATTCCTGCTCTGAAATGTCAGGGCACTAACAGGAGCAGGAAGGCTGGTAAGGAGGTCACAGCAAGAAACTGGATTCACACAGGAGGAAAAGAGGGGAACCCTTCTGCTCCCAGGGAATATTGATCATGAAAAGGTTTTAAAAAGAAAGGGGGACGTGCACTACACAGGAAAATTGATCTGTTTACAGAAAATATCTGCAGGTTGCCTGAAAATGAATATCCTTCATGCGAAAGTTTCCTTTGAGAGAGCATGAACTTTGGACACATTAGAAGGTTAAGAGCGTAAGTAATGTGTTTTTTCACCTTTAGCTAAAGGTCACGGAGCATTCAAACAATTCCTCTGTTTCCAAGCTGAACATGACAGAAGTCAACTGCGCACCCCAACATTACAGCTAATGAATATGGAAAACAGAAATGTTTTCCCTGCACTTTGGCCAAGAACCACTCTGTGCCCTTAAGAAGAAACTGCTGATTATTGGAGATTTTAGTTTTACCTCAACAAAGTCAAACAAACCAGAACCTTTTCACTAAGCTTCCTTCTTCCCGTTAAAAGCATGTTGACTTGTCAAAGCTTTTTGCAAGTCATTGTCTACTGAGACAGAATTAAATCCGGGGTCATTATAGAATTTTGCACCGTTTTCACATCACATCCACCCTTCCCAACAGCTGTTGGGATCAGATAGATCTCCCAGTGAGGAGGAAGAGGAGGAAGACACCTGAGTATGTTGCTTACCCTGTGGGAGAGCCTGTTTGCTGTGTCAGCCAGTGGAGAGAGCTCAGTCTGGGTCAGACCCACGGGTTCACAGCCCTGCCCAAAGCTGGCAACCAAGAGTGAAACCAGACAACAAACATCCTCACTCAACCGGTACTGGATCTTCTCTGCCAGCTCCAAACTCAGCAGCAGCTCGTGGAACATGCTGCTGGGAGGAGGTGCCCATATGTACAAAGCATATTTCTGTTTGTTTACTTGAAATACACTTTTTCCCCATTTTGTTGGCTATTCCCTTGGGCTTTATGTGATGGGAGAAGAAAAATCCCTCAAGCCTGCTTCCACTGCCTCCTGCCCCTTCACAACATCCCCTCTCACTTGCCTCATCTGTGAAATCAAACAGCTGCAATCCTTTAAATCACTTTTCATAAAGTGTCTCCAAGCCTAAAATAATGTCACGGCTCATTTCTGAGCTCAGCATTCCTGCCGCGCCGCATTTCCCTGGGTGCGACCGTCACAGTTGGGCTGTGATTATTTATTTATATTATAATAGCATTTGCAGCCCTGCTGTGCTCAGCCCTGCACACGCGCCCAGGAGGTGACCCAGGGCGTTTCCACCACCAGGATAAGGATCCCTGCGCCGACAAATTCCCACTTCTCAGGAAAGGATGCCTTGGAACGCAACAAACCAGAACCAAAATTTAATTAGATGCAAGACATGTTAGTGTCGGGTTGGTTTTGGCCTCTCTTGGTTTCTTCCAAACAAGCCCTCACTGTGCAAACACACCCCATGACAAAATTGACCTGGCCAAGACATGCAAGCAAATACCGCTGACTTTTAATATTAAACAGCGTAGCAACTTCAAAGGAACTGGGCTCTCCTCTCCCAAGCAATCCCACCAGAGATCAGCTCCAGCCCCAGAGCCATGGCCAGGCTCCAGCTCACGGCGCCGCCGAGCAGGAGACACGTGTTTGTGAACAGCTGAGAGCAGATCATGCAGGGACACGCTCCCACAAACACTGCCTGTCCTCCCAGCACAGCCAAGGTGCCTCGCTTTGTGTGGGGCTGGCACGTTTCTGCCCACAGGAGTCTTCTGGCTTTCCATCCAAAAAATAAATAAATAAAAAAAAAAAATCTCAGCTCGGACCTCTCCTGCATCCAGACACCCAAAAGGTATCGCATAATTCGGGTGATTACGTGTGTCTGTAAAAATAGCTGCTAGAAGTGAATGCCAGCAGCTTCTTCCAACATGAATACACCAGAACAAAACCAGTGTTCACTGCAGGCTGCAGAAACCCCCAGCTCCAGCTCACTGCAAACAACTGCCCTGCTCTGCTCATCCTGCTGTTGCAGCACTAAGGGGAAGCAGTTGGGATTTTGCAGGGGACAAGAGCTCAGCACCCCAAGGACAGGAGCCATTCACACTCTTTTTAAAGCCACTCTTCACACTGCAATTTGAGGTTCCTTTGGTTTGCTTTTAAACCACAGCCTTGCAACAACTGCAGACCGTGCTCACCTGGTCACATCCTCCTCCCGCTCGCTAGGGTTTCTGATAAAAAGAAAAACTGGGATTTTCTTTTTGAGACAAACGCTCTTGGTTATGTTCCAGGCCCCAAACAAACACGCTCACACTGAAGCAAAGCTCCCATAAATCGAACCAGGTCAGCGTGTCTCATAGCCAGGATGAAAAGCCTCTTTGTGCAGCAGCACGCAGGCCCCGAGCGATGTAGATGAGCCAGCAAACGCAGCCAAGAGCTCGTCCTGCGCCCTCCTTTAACGTTTCTATTTCAAAGCCTTGCCAATCTCCGGCTCTGCTCCCTGTGCCACTCTGCTGAAGCCAGGCAAAGAGGGCAAAAGAGGGAATTTCAGCCCTTTGCTGGCATTTCATGGGTTTCCAGGCTCTCAAGTCAAACACTAAAACCAGCACAGGCTGAATTTGACCATTCAGTGGTGGTCACTGTCAAACAGAACCCCCAGACAAGGTCTCCTCCCTGATTTGTGTTTCAGGCACCTTCCACCTCACTGTGATCCAGCAAGAAGCAGCTCCAAAGACCCTTGGAAGTATGAGCCATACTCCAGCACCTAATAAGATTCCTTTAAGCAGCCTGAGCTGACTAAAGCTGTTCCACTAAGAAGAGTTTCTTCCGTTAAGGACTTAAACTGAAAACATTCACCCATCCGGGATGAGCAAACACAGGCAAGAGTGAGACAGCACAGAAAAGGAGAGGCTGGATCCAGGTGAATTAACCTCTGTGAGTTCTGGTCCATTCAACAAGACAAAAAAAAAAAAAAAAAAAAAAAAATCTCCAGCTTATGCCTTGATCCAAGAAGAGAAAAGATTACAGGTCAAGACTAAGACAGGGGGAAAAGGGGGAAGGATAAAATGGAAAGCTCAGCAGCTCAGTTATCTTCTTGCTCCCCAGGAGAGCTGCATAAAGAGAGGCAGGTCTGCTAACAGAGGGCAGGAGGCAGGGAAGTTTCAGGAAGTTCGCCTGGGAACCAGGAGAGCTCTCCTGTGGGTGTGAGGAGCAAGGAGTGAGCTCACTGGGAAGCAGCGAGCCCACATGTAGAAGAGGATGGTCCTTCCCCTGTGACTCAGTGCCAAGGGAAGGCCATGCCAAAAAGGGCTGGAGGGCACCACAAGCTTGGTCAAACCTTCCCCTTTGTCCCCAGGCTGGATGCTGCACCCAACCAAGGGTGTTCTTGCCAGGGGAACAAATGGACATAGGTTCTCAGAAATTATGAGCCAGATGAGCACCACCAGAGCAAGTGCTCAGAAAAAGGCTGGAAAGGGAGAGAAAAACTGAAAACACCATATGGAGAAACAAAAGAGGATCTCATGAGAGAGGCACAGTGAAATCCTGCACCGCAGGCACGGAAATGGTCTGATTTCTGTGTAACAGCCACATCCGAGACAGGCACAGCTGAACCACTGTCCCAGCACTGGGGACACCCACGAGGGGGACAGGGAAGGGAAGGGAAGGGAAGGGAAGGGAAGGGAAGGGAAGGGAAGGGAAGGGAAGGGAAGGCTGTTTCTCACCGCATGGGGCCGGGCAATCTGCACCGGGTAGGACAGGGCGTGCGGGGGATAGCGCGGCTCGGCCGCGCGCCAGCTCTGCGTCACGGGCTGCGTGGAGCCAGACATGGCCAAGGAGCAGGCGAGGCAGGGGCTGCTTCCAAATCACCAGCAAAGGATCAGGAGAGCAGGGAGCTCCTCTTCATCGTGTGTGTGCTTCCCACGGCGCGCAAGAGCTGGAAGGAAAGCAGGAGAGCAGCAGGTTAAAATTCAGTCGGCTGTAATCCCACGAGACAACCATCAGGCCTTGGGCCATCACCAAAACCTCACTGCCCTCGCAATTCCCCAGCAGCCCCGATTGCCATTTGGCAAACCCCCACTGTTAAGGTCTTTTTCTGTAGATTACTCCTATCACAGGAAAGCCAAATATAAGATTTTCCCAGATTTATCCCAGCCAATTTCCCTGGAAAACCTTCACCCACCACCAGCAAGACCAGGAAGCCAAACTGCCAGCTATTTCTTTGGGTCCTGCTGATCTCTGTCTCTAAGTCTCTTGGAGATGAATTTTTTTTTTGCAGGGTGACTCAGTTTCCAAAAACACAGTCTAGAGTTTTGGCATTTCAACACAAGGTCCAAAAAACCACAAAGTCCCTCCCCAGCCCATCCCTTTCAACATCCACACTCTCACATGTCAGTGCTCTTCTTTCCAAGCTGTGGCCGCTTCTGCAGCCCTCTGAGGTAAGCCCTGATCTAATGGTAGGAGGGACACCAGGCACTGACCCCGCCTGCAGCTGTGTCCATCCATGAAGTGACAATAAAACCCGGGACTAAAGCATGTCACACACCTCCAGTGCCACCTGGATCAGCCCTTCTGACAGGGACCCAGTGCCAAAGAACACACCGCAGCCCCGAGGGTATTTTCACAAACACCCATCACCCACACATTCACTTCTGTACCACCTGTTGCAATTCCTTTAGCAGCTGCAAGAAAATCAGGAAAACCAACAAAGTGAGAAGGTGCCTCTTGGCCCCAAGGGGAGATCTACAAGTTACTGATTTTCATAGCTACTTCACACTGTTTGTTTGGTGATTATTTTAAGCCTCCTGCTTTTTGTCTGGATTACAATGAAAAAGTAACAAAGGTCTAAATGCGGCGCTGTCAGGGTGAGGTGTGTTAACTATTATTCTCAAATTAACAATTAGTTACACAAAGGATAAATTGCCACTGTCGCCTGCCAGGGTCAGGAGATGTTATCAGGACTGATGCCAAGGGATCCAGGGACAGTCCCAGCTCCCTGGACCCATTCTCCATCCCACCCAGTGCTGTGCACGCCTCCTCCCCAGTGCAGGTATGTGTTCTGTATGGATTTGTGCAAGGCTTTTGGCACCATCAAACTCTTCCAGCAGCACATCAGGAAACTTCCAGGGCTCCCAGGAGCCTCTCCCCAGCCTTGTGGTCTCCGTGCATGGGGAGCACAGCCAGCCCCAGCCAACGCAATTTCAACTGAAACAGCAGTTGGCGTGTACAAAAAAACCAAAAAGGGGGTGGGAAAGCGGAGGGGGGAAAAAAAAAAAAGAAAGAAAGAAAGAGGAAGCTTTTCTTTTTTTATTTCTTTTCCCTCCTGTGAGACCACAGATGAGCCCATGCTGATAAACCCCTCGCTATCTGCTGCAGGCAGGCACAGGGCTGCCTCGCTGGTTTGTGATGCAGCCTCAGAGCCAGAAATAAACCAAACCAAGGCAACGTTCCCTGGCAGCCAGGCACGACAGGCAGCCAGAGCAAGGCAGCCCAGGGAGGCCTCTCACACAGAGGTCAAATCTTACAGAAATCATCTTTTCAGCAAACCCCCATGAAGTCTAAGGATGACAGACACACAAAGACATCACCACGCTCACCTGAGGGTCGGGTGAGTCTCTTGGGAAAAGGTATTTTACCAAGTGACAAATGGAAAAAGACAAGGTTTAGCTCTCAAGGCAGGGTGCAAAGGGACAACCAGGTCCCTGCTGCTTTCAGCTCACTCGCTGCACAAGAGCTGGGATTCCCCCCAGGTCTGGACCCTGCTGAGCCCCAGGGCACCTTACCTGTCACCCCAGGGAATCACTGGTGGCCTGGGAGCAGCCTGACCCTCATCCCAGACCAGACAGCTTCCCCATGCTAGAGCCTGGCGTGCTCAGTGCAATCCACCCCGGGCAGGAAAGCCCCTGTGCATGCAGGGGAATTCAGAGGCACCCAGAACACGCATTTACACTTCCAGTATGACTGTCCCACTTCCCCTCGTGCTTCCGACTGGATGGGATTTTAATCACCCATTCCCACCCTAAACTGGGGGCTGTGCCAGGAGCCTCCCACCATGCTCACCCTCCAGGGACACAGCAGAACCCTCCCAGCTCTCCTGCAGCCCAAGTGATGCTCTAGGGACAAACCCTCCCTGCAGCTGCCAAGGATACGTGCATGGGGCTCTCAGGGCTCCAAAAGCTCAGTGGGATCTGCAGTAATTTAAGGGACTTTCCCAATAACAGATTCAAACTTGGACATCTTGGCTTATGGCCACCTACAAATTAATTAGCACATGTAAATATATACATACATATACATACACACACATATACATATTCCAACCCAGAGTCCCTGGCAGCTTTCAGCAAGCCAAGACTCCCTGGAAGCACAGCAGGTAGACCTGACCATGCTGAGGCAGCTGTCTACAGTAAAAGAAATTGGATGATTTTTTTTTTTTTTAAACTCTTCAGATCAGCAGTTCAGCTTAAAACACAGCACCAGGTGCAAAGCCACATGGTACAGAGCTCTTAAACAGTTTTAAAGCTTTTTTGCCTCAGTCTGTGCAACTAAAAAAAAAGTTAACTGTCTACTAGAGGAATAAAGACACAAGATGAAAATGCAGGGGCCAACAAAACTGTCCTGCACCAAGGCACAGTGTCTGTGAGCTGTGTCCTGCATTCATCACAAACCAGCAGGAGCACAAAAGGATTTTTCCTTAACAAGGGCAGCAAACCACCTCTGCCTCTATTGAGGCTTCTTGTTAGCAGCCCTGGGAAGACAAAAGTAAAAATCACATGGTCCTTGCAAGCAGGCAAGGAGCACTGTCCATGCATTTCCACATCTGCAGGTCACCAGCAAGATCCCAGCACCAGCCCAAGGCCCTGGATGTTTGTACCACAGTAGGACTGGGCTGGAGCCAAACAAGGTCACCAAAGCACTGGGGCAGCTCCACACATGCCTCAGATCACACCTCAGGTCCAAATTTTACACTCCACATACCCAGCACTGTTCTGGGGAGGAAGGTCCATGACCAGCAGGCAAAGAGGCTGTGGGTGCTCCCAAAGGGGAGCACATCTTGCAGGGCATGCACTGGTGCATGCACTGGGTGCAACTGGGACACCACTGGGCCACCCATTCCCAGCACAAGACACTGGGCTGCCTCCTCCTCCAAAACTCTTTTTAAATTATTTTTAAGGGAGGAACACAAACAATAGGAACAGATTAATGGAAGTAAGAGAGAGAGTGTGCAGCCAGGCTCTTTAAATCTTTAAAATCAAACTGTTTAGTTCCTACTTTCTCAACTGATTTTGATGAAGAACAGACATTGTCTCACAGGAAAGGTATTTCCCCCCCAGTTAGAGTCTCCATCTGAGACTGTTTTACCCATAGACCTGCATTAGCCATTACAGCACTAGGTACCAGGAGATTTATGGTCTCTGATGAGGAACAGGAGAAGGCTGGAGGTTATCACCAAAAACCAGAATCAGGGCTGCAACACGAACCTGTGGAGGAGGTGAGTGCCTATGGAACCTCCTGTACCTGTTTATTTTCACCTGTTGAAAAAAAACTCACAGGATTCTGCCCCACTGCTGAAGCCTTCAAAACTCCCCCATCCTCCCACCCTGCTCTCCTGTTTCTCCTCTTCACGTGCCATTCATTTACCATCTAAAATTGCTTCCCCATCACCTGTTCTCCCCATTCACACCACAACAGCACACTACAAGCCACAGCAAGCTGCTGCAGGCTGGCCCACATGCCCAGGAGCTGTGCCCACATGCCCAGCCAGCTCCAGCAGTGTCCCCCAGCCTGTGCTAATGGGATGCACAGCACTGGGCCAGGCACATTCACACCCAAAACAGGGGCACAGAGGAGTTCACAGCACCCTGCAGTCATCTGTGGATCCCCAGCCCATGGCAAAACCTACACTGACATGGGCAGGACCCTGCTAAAAGCCTGCAGGTCTAAAATAAGGGGTTTGCAATTAAATCTAGCTGCAAAAAAAAAATAAAAATAAAATTCATTAACATCATTCAACACACTTGTTGCTCTTCAAAGTTAGAGACAACCTTCCTGATTTGTTCTGGACTCCTCAGGGAGGATTCCCAGGTGAGGTCCCTGGCTTGACTGGTACAACACACATGTGGGCCAGTTGCTGTAATTACCCCGTGCCTTAGTTCATCTATCTGAAAGGTGAGAACAACAAGACACTCCCAGCTCACAGAAAACACCAGTTCATCTGTTCTCAGAGGAGTTTTAAAGATCCCAGTGAAAACACATGGTTCAAGTTCAAAATACAATTTTTTTTTTTTTTTTAAAGCAAGGACATGCTGACATAAGATTAACAGAATATTTTGTTTCCTAAGTCCAGAGTAATGTTACTCAACTTGTGGTCTACGGACCATGGATGGTCTACAGGAGACGTTAGGAGGCAGCCCACAAAAACTGCAAAGCCCTTATTGAAAGGCAAAAACTAGTACCACCACACCATGCAGACATGGCAAATAAGAGAAATGCTGTTGGCACTCACCAGTGCATTTAACTGAAGAGTATTGACAACAAAGCTCATGTTTAATTACACTAAATGATGCCGTTTTTGGAAAAAACAACAAAGTCATCTTTAATCAAACACTAAATACACGACAATTTTCCTCCTCAAACAAGAAATAAAAGGTGTGTATCCTCCAGTCAACTCATGTATTTTCAAATAAAGGTTAAGGAGACCTTTGTAATGATGCTTAATTAATTCTGAGCTGTAACATCCACCTCCAAGAGTCCAAGCAACCACGATGCCTAAAAAACCCCAGCACCCAGCTGTGTGTGGCACAGGGGAGTCTCTGCCCCACTGATGAGCAGCTCTAGATCAAAACCAGACCTGAAAAGCAGCTAAGAGATTTACCCACTCTTGCTTTAAAGGACTAGTGGAAGCAGAAATAATTAAGATGCAATGAAAATGGGTAG